TACTTCACAGGATTTGCTGTGTATTTCTAGGTGAACTCAGCAGCCCAATTGCGCATAGCAATGTTCCACTAAAAGCCATGGAGTGAGTGATCAATTTTATTTGGGGACTTGTTGGCCAGGACACCGGGAGAAACTCCCTTCTCTTTTCAAGTACTATTATTGGATTTTTAATTTCCACCTGAAGAGTAGACCTGACCCAACTGTACAGCGCCTTGGGACGTCCTCCCGACGTGAAAGGCGCTCTATAAATGGAATCTTGTTGTTAGACAGGACCTTGATTTACCATTTCATCCGAAGAACAGCACCTCTGACAATGGTAACATTAAGATATTCTTAAATACATTCTATTCCTTAATGAAAGAATATTGCTAAAATGTGTTTTGAACTACCTCCCCCTCCAACTTCTGATTGATCATAGTGCTCAAAGGCAGCCAGAAAACCCTCAAAGTCACCAACTTGGATGTTTAATAAGTAGGTCTGCTGTTTGTATATTATACACAATATAATAATAATCTTTGCATTTGATATAGCGCCTTATCACCTTGTTGAGATATCTCAAAGTGTTTTACCGTACAAACTGTAACATTATGTGGCTGTGTGGTATTTTGTGTTCAAATGTGGCAGACAGGTTACATACAGCAGTGTCCCACAAACAGACATGCATTTTTTGTAGTGGGTGCAGACCTTTAAGTGGTGCTGTACAGGATATTGATTTAGGTAAATTATTGTCCCGTAACTGGGCATTGAAAGGCTGCAATCTGAGATCCAATCAATCATTCAATAACAGAGGTGAAAATATCTTCAAAATCACTCGATCAAATATAAGGATTATTATTTATTGCCTCTGATTGAAGTATAGGTGAAAAGGATTTGGATGCAGGAGTGCTGAAAATCAATTATTATTTAACATATCTTCGAAGATAAATCAATTATATTGGATATTTTGAAAAGGTGGAAGTACCATTTTACTTCATTGTAAATGGGGTCTAATTTGCACTGTTTCTTAACAGGATTCTGATAAGAAACACAAAAATAAAATTTCCTATTAGGTTTCCTGATAACACATGTGAACTTCATTCCAGACATAAATCCTTATATTTGATATAGTGATATTAAACTGTCAAATTGTAATATTGTAGGGTGAAACCTTAGGTGAGTTTCCTTACTCCACGTACCTCTGCTTACCTAGCAGTCAGTAGGAACCCGATTGTTAGTCGATTGGCAGATCACTTTCCAGGGGTAATAATCCCTTCAAAAATAAATAAATAATAATTTGGTCACTCAATCCACGATTGTTTGTGGAACACTGCTGTGCACGATTGGCTGAGATGTCTCAAAAATGTGATAAGGCCCTATATTAAATGTAAGTTATTAAAATGAGTTATCTTTCATTTTCCCCTCAGCTCCCAACCGAGCGTGTCAAGCTCTTTGGGACTTTCTCAGAACATGAAAAGCACTATATAAGGATAGTTTGTATTGTAAATAATGTCAGAGTGGAGTTCCCCTAACACAACATACTTTGATTGTCATAAGGAGCATACCCATGCAACTCTGATTCCTTATTAAGGTATTTCATTGAGAAATACTGCAAAGTAGAGCCCAATGTAAAATAAGAGTATAAACCGTATTTGATCTGAAATATATGAACCTGATTCTTTGGATGCAATCTCCATGGAGTCAGCTTTATAGTGATGTTGTTCACCAGCCATCATTCACTTGAGGCTGATCCTCAACTCCACTAACCCGATTTCAAGGAGCTGTGTTGGGTTTCTAAGCTGGGATCTCTGAGCCATCAGCCCGCGTGGCTGTCGCAGTTTGGAATCCCACCTCGCAATGTAAATGGGGAATTCCAGGCACCAGCTGCATCAAGCTACTTGAGCAGCAGCTCTCTTTGAACCTATCTCAAGTAGTCCATAAATGCAATTCAGCATTAATCCCCCATTAATCTCCAGTCCGAAGGGAATGCAATAGAGGAGAACCTCATTATGGTTACATAGGATATAAATTGGTACAGATAGGGTAAACCCAGAACATGACTTCAAATTAAAACCAGAACAGAAAGACAAAGGGGTGTGGATTTTACGTAGTAAAGAGCACATTTCAAACATATCAAGATTATTTTTAATAAGAATGTTTTTGTGAAGTGCTCCCAGACTTTATCCTGCACGCAGGGTGCTGTATAAATGAAAGTTGTTGTTTTACATGGAACTAATGATTGATTGGAACAATCTGCCAAGGTTAGGTGCAAAGAAACATCAGGGACATACAAATATAGAAGCTTAAGTTAGCAGTAGAATAAAATCGGTGGAGCTTTCTAATATTCTTATTATTAACCCTGAGTGACTCAGGAACAGCGTATCACTAATGGTATTTTACTGCAGTACATCTTATGAACATGGTAAACATATGAGTCACCAGAATCACATGCTGGTTGCTTGTGTGCCCAAAACTTCAACACTGCACAATCAACATTTCCTTATCTTATTCACAATGTCGGTGTTCGCTGAAATGTGTCACTGAATGTGTTGACAAGGTAGATCAATAAGTGATAATGAATTGGACTTTACCTTTGTTTCAGACGAGATATCTTTCCTTTACCAGCCATATTTTCGAGTTGATCCAGAAATTTGGCTTTCTTCTGGGACCTTACAGCGCAGTGCACACAAAGGAAGATGATATGATAGCAGCCCATATTCTCTCCTGCACTTGGCTCTGTATGCCCATCACAGCCAACCTCATTCATACCCTTACCTCTGCAACAACAAAGTGCCTTTTTATATGCCCGTAAAACACAGTCACTCCACTTTACATTATATCCTGTGAAGTGTTTGAGACATTCTCCCAACAAGAAAGGGAACAAATGCAAGGATTATTTTTATTAGGATTATTATATAGTGCCCTTCACATCTCAGAGTGCTTTACAGTGATAGGATTGGACACCAAGCAGGGGAGCGGAGAAGGGAGAGGGCACCATATACGCAGTCAGAGGTAGACTTTGAGGCTGGACTTGAAGACAGATAGAAAGCTAGCACGACATAGGGCTAGAGGGGGTTCCAGAGATTGTGGGCACAAAATCTGAAAGCTCGGCCACCAATGGTGAATAGGCCAGAGTTAGCTGAACTGAGGGAACAAGCAGAGAAATGGGGTAGAGATCAGAAAGGAAGGAAGGTGCTACGGGACGAAACGATCACGTGAAAATAGGATCAGACTCAACTGTGATGCAGTCAATTCCCTGAATCTCACTGTGTAGATCACACCATGAAAAGTATAATAATACTCCTCACATTTGATATAGCAGTTTCACGTCTTCTAGATGTCTCAAAGCGCTTCACAGAATATGCTGTAAAGTGAATTGACTGTATATTTGTGGGCGAAATGTAGCAGCCAATTGCGCACAGCAGTGTCCCACAAACAGTCGTGGATTGAAAATGACCAATTTATTATTTTTTATGTTTTTGGAGGGATTATTGTTAGGCGAAATGAAGACTTCCTGGCAAAAAAAAACTTAAAATATATGAAAAAATTGGAATAGGGTTGTAATTTTGTGAAAAATGTTTTTAATGAGTTATTTTTATGCAGTTGAAATTTTAAGCATGGATTGCTTCCGCACACAGAAAGCTCTGTAACACCTGAGATCCCTGGACAATCATTCTGGTCTTGACAGCAACAATGCTGTTCAGAGCAGGGATCGCCATCTAGTGCGCGATTATTGTTCAGCAATCTTTCACTGCTCTGGATTCCCAGGAACCCTCCCATCTTACTCCGATACAGTTGTTGTTCCTTTGACTACTTACTTACAACTGAAGCCGGTGGGATGTGACAAGGGGAGCACTAGGTGCACATGGCGAGTGAAAAATGGCTCTCTAGAGGAAGACATGAGGAACATGGATCAGAGACACACAGCTGCAGATGAATAACCCCATTGCTACCTTTCTTTCGCAAAGGTGAATGAAGATTCATTAGAGAGAAACTATTTCCTCTGGTGGGGAATCCAGAACAAGGGGGCATAATCTTAAAATTAGAGTTAGGCTATTTAGGAGTGAAATTAGGAGGCAGTTTTTCACCCAGAGGGGTAGCTGAAATCTGGAACTCTCTTCCCCCAAAAGGCTGTGGATGCTGGATCCAATTAAATTTTCAAGACTGAGGTGGATAGATTTTTGTTAGGAATGGGTATCAAGGGATATGGGGCAAAGGTGAGTATTTGGAGTTGAGGTACAGATCGACTATGACCTAATAGAATGGCAGAACACATTCCAGGGGCTGTATGACCTACTCCTGTTCCTATTTTCCTAAGATTTGATTCAACTTTTAAAAAGAGCAAGGCAACCAAATAAATATACAGTACAAAACATTAGTCAGCCCATCGTGCCTGTAAGTAGCTCTCTAAGAGCTACTCCACTTTACACCTTCTTCCCTCCACTTTACAGTATACCCTGTGAAACACTTTGAGATTTCCTTCCAACGTGAAAGAGCTGCATCAAATGTGAGTATTCTTATTAGAGGTATGACATTGACCTAATAACCCTCTGTGCAAAACATCCTTAACCTCACCCTTTCCTCTTGTAATTATTGTCATTCTACACCCTCTAGTTACTATCGTGTATCCAACCTGTGGGCAGGATTGCGACAAGGCTCACAAATTTCATGCTGAGCTATGTTGCTCACTGGAAATTTCTGGTACCAGCTGTGTCCACCTAGTAAGGGCTCAAGCCTGTGCTTGTCAGATGTCAAATCATAGAAATTTACAGCATTGAACATTCAGCTCATCAAGCCTGCACTGGCACTGGCAAGGTGTTCAGTTAATCCTACTGCCCTGCCATATCCCCATACCCCTTCAAGCCTCTAACCTTCTCAGAAAGGCTTACATTGTAGAGCAAGTTGAGAATTGTTTTTACTACCAAGGATCCTAAAAGTACCTTACTTCATCACAGTCTTAAGGTTGTCCTTAGGGTGGGATGCGAAGGTGGGGAAAGAGGAAAAAAAGTTCCATACAACACGGGTCTCACTTTTAGTTTTATTCTCTTGCTCGAGTCACAGCAGTCGATTGAACAATGAAACGTACAAAATGTACTGATACACAACTGCATTCTGTCAAATGAATGCAGTACTAATCTCTTAATACTGTAGGTGAAAATGACTACACAATCTAATCATGTGAAAAGAGTTTTGCAATGTGAAAAGAGTTTTGCAGTCCAACTCGCATTTAATAATTTAAATTTTGCAGGTATCCAAACAGGTTCAAAGTTAACAGATAAAAATATTAAACCCTGATATCAATTGTACATTGTAACCATTACAGTTTCTTAACCTGAAACATAGAGAGTAGCGGCTCATAGCCATGCATTTATACCAAACACATTTGAACATGAAGTTACTATTGTGAAGGAGCACACAGCTACCTTTACATAGAGCTTCTAGGAGGCTACAACTTCAGGCCAGGCGACAATCTGGAGCAGCTTATCGGAATTCAAATGATTTGTGAGATGCTTTTGAAACTAATAGAAAGCACCTATAACATACTTCCAACAAATACAAGTGCTCAATCCTTTTACAATTAGTAAAATACGCTCCATTTCAGTTCAACTACAAAATGTCTCCTATAAATACACAACTATTGCAGTTATCTGAATCAAATTGTAAATGTACAGTTTTAAAGCACATATTTTTATAGTCCTTACAGGTATGGTTTACATATTCTGTGATAAAAGGCAACATAAATAATCTTCAACAGAACAGAAATCAAACACCACACTATGTGTTTATGCAATGGTGCTTTATGTACTGTCCATTCAGGAAGATAAAATAAATGTTTTTTTTCTGCCATGATCCTTTGGTGAGGCTACTTATGTATTGAAAGACAGTAGGTTAGATAAGATACAAACTGAACAAAGTTAGCCTGGCCCAAAGGTCATTTGTGATCTTGAGCTGAGCTCCACAACAAATAGCTACAAATTGTAACAAGATAAGCCCCGCATTAATAACCTGACAGCTTTTGCTGTTTAAATCAGTGGTTGTTTTTCTTTCTCCTCTCCTTCAATTTAAACTGAACTCGAAACAAACATCACCTCCAATACACATAAGTTCGCCCTTCCAACAGCAATGACTGGAAGATGCCCAGAAGTGAAACAAATGTCTACAAGTCAATTCTGACACTAAGTGGCCACATAATTATTTGGGGATGGTTGCTCATCAGGTGAAGGATGTCAGTGCTACGGAACACTTCATTTATGGGCACCAAGCATTTTTAAGGCAGGCATGGTCCAGTTAGATGGTGCAAAGCTCCCTCCACTCTTGCCACACATTTATTTATCTCTGACTTAGGAAGTGCACTACTATTTTCTACATTATTTTTAAGACTGCCAAATAACTGGGTTCAGATTGCCCATCTTTTGTTTACTTTGGGCCCTTATAGCTATTTTTGAAGATACTTTATCCCTAGATTTGAATCTGTTTGTAAAAGTGAAAGCATGTTTACCCACTATCTCACCCCATCCTCAAACTGGGTTACAGTAAATAAAGGAAAAGAAATATTAACCAGAGGTTTCCTGTCGCAATTCAACCACAATTGGAATCCTACATGATTGCTGTGAAACTTCCCTATCCATTATATGAAGGAAGATCATCATTGAGCTCAGAAACTGACAAGGGACTGACGCAGACCATGGAGAAGATAAGGAACGAGTAAACTTGGATTTTCAAAACAAATGTCAGTCAGCAATCACTAGAAACCAGTAATTCTTCTCCAGCTAATAAGGTTGCTAGATCTCCAGATATGTGTTGCTTTAAATAGCTATTCTTACATAGCTAAGAATCTGTTGGTTATTCCATTAACATGTTAAAATAAGGAAGCAGCTGGAGTAGGAAATTAAATAAAATAACCACAATGTAAACATGTTCAATGTGTTTCTGCATAATTAGTGTAGAACGTTTTTAAAATAGAATAAAACCGTGAGCATCTACAGGAAAATTCCAACAATAATCCTATTAAATAGTGCTAACCGCAAAGTAAAATTGACCTGAATATTTAGTTTCTTTCAGTATTGAGAAATCAAACCTATACTCAAGCAGTCAGATTAGCACAATTTGATCCAGGAACTCCTGGACCCAGGAAATCTAGAACGGAATTACATATTCCAATTAATATGTAAACTAATTTCTCATCATTGGGAGACCATTAAATAATGTAACATTGGTAAATTAATTGAGCCACATGCTTGTTTATGCCATCCAATGCTTTAAGCTCATCTACTTGTGGAGAATATTTTTTAAATTATATAATTAAGATAGAAGCATAGCAAGTCAATCGTAGCTGTAGTGGTGCAAAGAAGCCAGTCAATGGCTCCAAATGAATGAAATAATGCCCTCATTTGGTTGTCTACGTGGCTCCTTCAATTGGTGCTCTGCGCCCACGTGCTGACTTGGGTCTGTGGCGTAGAGGTGTGGATGGTAACTCTGCTTCGCTTTCAGTCTCTGTTGTTTCATCTCCCTGCAGTGAACCCGTGTCTCCTATAAGTTCACGGAGGAATTTGAACTTGGATAGGAACAGCTGCCATACCACATACCATCCTGGAATATAACAGATCAGGATCATTCAGACAGTTATACTGTACACTTATCTATAAAACTATAATATATAGTCTTTCATGTAAAAGAAATGACTTTAAGAACTTCAAAAAGATAATTAAATAGAAATGAATTATGTTATGGAGTGAACAGAATACACTTCCGTTTCCAGTACTGAATAGCCGGCTTCCTGCACACAACACAAAAGGTCTCCCGGTTTCTCGCAGTGCCCCTCTGCAGCTTATCAAGAGAGCAGTTGCTGGCCTCCAGAAGTGTCTTGTAACCTGCAACCATTTATACAGCACTAGCTGTTCCCATTGCAGCTACGCTTGTAACCAAAGGACCCAATATGGAATGCAGATTAACACACAGACAGACATTTCATCTATACTCATCCAAGTCCTTTCAGGACTCCTGTGGGAGCACTCATTTTGGCTGTGCTGTTCTTTGAGTGGGCAAATCACTTTGGCAGCCGCGCTGTTCTTTGCTCTTTAGTTTCCTTCTCTTTTTTGTCTAGCATTGTTACCTATCCTTGAAAGGTTTGATTTTCACTTAGGCATCTTTATAATGATAAATATAAATGTGTAATTTAGAATCACTGGGACATCCTCCCTTGTGCTTTACAAATGTAATTTTGTTGTTGTTGCCTTGTCTTAGCTTCACCTGTGTTCTTTATTTTGTTCATCATCAATCGGTTATTGAGATCCTTCTTGAAGCGCAGACAGACATTGTTGTTTTATTAGTACACAGAAAAGTATAATGCAGGGTCCATCTACTTATTAAACACTTACAACACAAGTCTCATTACAAAATTAAGGCCAAAGACGGTTGAAAGAATACTAAAATGATAGCTATTATAATACAGTAGAATCCCATTATAAACATGCTTTGTTATAACAGGGGTTTGCTTAGGTGTCATGTGGACCCATGGCTTCCTAAGCTATAAAATAGCCAAGTTAGGGGCATTCAGATCACCACGATTCCTTCCTGCATGCTATGCATGTGCAGGAAGTAGGAATGCACAACCAGACATGCTGTCATAGTTAGTAAAGTTGCACATCAATGCACAACCTAAACTATTAGATTAGGTTAAGTTGTACAAGACCAGTTGTTTTTTGCGCAGATGTACATATTACAGGAAGTGACATTGGTGACAACTGATGAACTGGAAGTCGAGCAGAAAGTCCTGTGATTCAGTCATGATTCAGAAACACTAACCAATGATTGTGCCCTGCTATAAGAGACGTTGGGACATCCTTTCAGAGGATGTTAGCAACAGTAAAATGAAGTAAACTTCTGTAAAAATAAGGGAGGGAAGCATTTTGCTGGAGGTTACTTTTGGATAATTTTGAATAAAAATTGTAATGGACAGGATCTCAATCTGTGCTTTCAATACATCTTATGTAATAGTTTCACTTCCTGCTCTGGACTAGCTTCATGTTCTCCTTGAGCTCTCAATTATTCCTAGTTTAAATATGATGCAGGAAGTGCTCTTAGCAAAATCTGCCATTGTTATTAAGTTTCTCAAAATGCAGTTTTGAAATTATAAAAATGAACCTATGAACCAAAAAAAAGTTACAACTGTATGCAAGTCTTGTGTAGTATTGAAAAAAAGCAGCAGAATCTAACCTTGGAACATTTGATTTATTTCTTGTAGACATATATAAGTTTGAAATGGAGGGGCTGGTGACAGTCTAAATGGTTTGAAGATAAAAGTCAGAAAATTGCAAAGCTGGTGAAAACCAGTACTTCCTTCCTGCCAGTACAAAGCAATGTTTACAACAGTTACTTGTTGCAGCCTTGAAGGCCCTGTAATACTAAGTAAACAACCCTCCATTTTCTATTCGGCCCTCTTTAGTCTCAATTGTTTACATTCCATGCATCACATACGTATAATTTCAACATATTTTCAAATTAGTTAAGAACATTTATATATAATATATATAATAATCTTTGCATTTGATTATGTTGTTGAGACATCTCAAAGCGCTTCACAGAATATACTGAAAAGTAGTGTGATTGTGTTTTTTGAAGGTGAGCATAACAATAACTTGCATTTGTTGTTATAGCACCCGTCACGCAGGTTAGTGTCCCAGAGCGCTTGACAGTGCTGGAGCATAACGCCGAGGTGACTGTAGGCACAGTCGAAGAGGAAGGTCTTCAGGCGTGATCTAAAGATGGGGAGGAAGGGGCAAGACAGAGGGATAGAGGAAGGATGTTCCAGAGTTTTGGGGAGTAGTGGCTGGAAGCATGACCACCAATGGTGGAACGGAGGGCACGAGGGACAAGCAGGAGGCCGGAACCAGTTGAGATGGTGGGTTGGGGAGTAAGCAACAGCAACAACAAGATTACATTTATATTGCGCCTTTGGACAGTTTACAGCATTTCAGACCCGAAAAAAAAAAAAGCAGGTCGGAGAAATAGGGATGTGCCAGGACATGAAGGACTTTGAAAACGAGTTTGAGGATCTTCAAATCGATCCATTCGGCGATAGGGAGCCAGTCAGCTTGTTTGACAGACATCAAGGCCTGGATGAGCGCAAATTTCCTGCAGCTGAATGTCGGCAAAACGGAAGCCATTCATTGACTTCTATCAATATCTTCTCTCCTGTGGGTCTGAACTTCTCAACCTCCCCGGGCTCTCCCTCAGACTCATGGAACCTGTGTGCAATTTCCACTTCAGGCTCCCAATTACTGAACGGATCGATTTCAAGATCGTCTCATTCGTTTTCAAATCCCTTCATGACCTCGCACCTCCCTACCTATCGAATAGGCTTACCCCCGACTCCCCCACCCACTGCCTCCGCTCGGCTGCGGGCTCCTGTTCGTCCTGTTGGAGCACTCGCCTCGCAAGTGAGAGACCTGGGTTCAATCTCAAAAGGCTTTTGACAAAGTGCCACATAAAAGACTTGTAAGAAAAATAGAAGCCCATGGTATAAAAGGGACAGTGGCAGCATGGATCTAGAACTGGCTGGGAGACAGATAGCAGAGAGTTGTGGTGAACGGTTGCTTTTCTGACTGGAGGGAAATGTACAGTGGCGTCCCCCAGGGGTCGGTATTAGGACCACTGCTCTTCTTTATATATATATATATATATGATCTGGACTTGGGTATAGCAAGTACCATTTCCAAGTTTGCGGACGATACAAAGTTAGTAAGTGGTAAACAGTGAGAAGAATAGTAGCCAATTGCAGAAAGACATGGACAGAATGGTAAAATGGGCAGACACATGGCAGATGAATTTCAATGTGGAGAAATGCGAGGTAATGCATTTTGGTAGAATGAATGAGGGGAGGCAATATAGACTGGTAATACAATCTTAAGGGGGGGTGAAAGAACAGAGAGACCTGGGGGTTCAGGTAAATTAATCCTTGAAGGTGGCAGGACAGGTAGATAAAGCTGTAAAAAGGGCATATGGGATACTAGGCTTTATAAATAGGGGCATAGAGTAAAAGTAGCTCAATGGTTGAGCACTCGCTTTGCAAGCAAGAGACCTGAGTTCAATTCCAGGCAGGGCGAAACCTTGGGCAAGTTTCCTTACTCCACACAGAGCCTAATAATAATCCCTCCAAAACCAAAAACAATAATAAATTGGTCATTTTCAACCCATGACTGTTTGTGGGACATTGCTGTGCGCAATTGGCTGCCGCGTTCGCCCACAAATATACAGTCAATTCACTTTACAGTGTGTTCTGTGAAGCGCTTTGGGACGTCCTCCTGACGTGAAAAGCGCTATATCAAATGCAAGGATTATTATTAAAAGAGTCAGGAGGTTATGATTAACCCATATAAAACACTGGTTAGGCCTCAGTTAGAATACTGTGCCCAGTTCTGGGCACCACACTATAGGAAGGATGTTAAGGCATTGGAAAGGGTGCAGAGGAGATTTACAAGGATGGTACCAGGAATGAGGGACCTTGATTATGAGGAAAGGCACGAGAGGCTGGGATTATTCTCACTGGAGCCGAGAAGGTTACAAGGAGACCTAATAGAGGTCTTCAAAATCATGAGGAGATTTGATAGGTTAGAAAGGGAAAAAACTGTTTCCACTGGTGGGTGTGTCGGTGACTCGAGGTCACAGATTTAAAATAGTTTCTAAAAGTAGGAAGTGAGAAGAAATTTTTTCACGCAGTGAGTTGTTCGAATCTAGAACACATTGCCTGAAAGGGTGGTGGAGGCTGATTTGATAACAACTTTTAAAAACGCGGTGGATGGGTATTTGAGGAAGATGGGTTTGCAGGGTTATGGGGAAAGGGCTGGGGATTGGGACTGACACTACATTGCTCTTTTCAAAGAGCCGGCACAGACTTGATGGGCCGAATGGCCTCTTTTTGTACTGTACGATTCTATGATTCAGTTTTGTTACTCTACACGCCCGTTTACCTAGCAGTAAGTAGCTTGTTCATCGATTGGTGGGTCGCTTTTCTGGGGGTAATAATCCCTACAAAAAAATAATAATATGGTTACTCAATCCATGACTGTTTGTGGACACTGCTGTGCACAATTGGCTGCCATGTTTCGGCCACAAAATTTACAGTCAATTCACTTTACAGTATATTCTGTGAAGCGCTTTGAGATGTCTCAAAGACATAAGGCGCTATATTAAATGCAAGGATTATTATTATAACTCTCAGCCTCAATCCCTCACTCCCCACTTTCATATCCTGCCTAAAGACCTTCCTTTTTGATTGTGCTTAAGGCCACCTCCCCCCTCCCTCAGGGTCAGACTCCGGCACTGTCAAGTGCTCCGGGACACTACTCCACGTAAAGTGCACTATATAAATGTAAGGTGTTGTGGTTGTAGCAATCTATTCTACTTGGGGAAGGGAAAATGTAGTAAGATGAATTGGCTCAGAGGAGAATCAGACAAGTCTGCAGTAATTTAGAAGTAAATATTTGATGAGCCTTTTTGGCACATCGACACTGGGAGCCACACACCCTATTAGGCAACCCTAGATCAGTCATGGTTGTCATATTAAAAATAAAATATTATGAAATTGATTCACATTTTAAAAACAGCCCAAAGCTTCTTTTTTCCCCCAACCATTAAAAATCCAAACTTTAAGTCATATTTATTAACTGCAGAAATCACTGCTGTACAATTGCTCTAAACAAATGTAGACTTGAATTAATTTTCACTCTAAAAATATAAGGCAGATCATTTTTCCAACACTTGGCTTGGTAGTTGCAGCTGCGCATCACCCCTCTTCCCTCAGTAGTTTTTTCAGCACCCCACAGAAAATGAATTTTCTCTAAACTATCAAAAATGATAGTCAAATTATAGCAATTTAACAAATCTATAGGAGACCATTTGGCCCACTGAGTCTGCACTGGCTCACAGAGCAAGGATATCACTTCAATCTCACCGCCTTATCCCCACACCTTTTTAAGCCCCTCTTGAATACCTATCTACTTCCCCTTTGAAAGCTACAAAGCACTCTGCCTCCACCTCCCTACTTGGCAGGGCATTCCATATCCCCAAATAATCTCTGGGTGAAAAAAATCCTCCTAAATTCTTCTTTCACTTTTCTTATGGCTATCTTATAATTAAGTGCCCTAGTTATTGACTTCCCTATCAGTGGAAATATCCCCTCTATTTACCTTAACAAAACCACTTGACTTTCTACATCTCAACCAACTTCTCGAAACTCCACTCATAACTGTAGCTCTTCATCCGTAGAATCACTCTTGTAAACCTCTCATGCACTCCCTCCAAGGTCCTAACATCCTTCCCAAAGTGAGGTGCCTAGAACCGGATGCAGTACTCCAGTTGCAGCCTAACAATGATTTATACTATATATACATATAGCATAACTGTTTCACTTTTGTACTCTCTGCCCATGTGTATGAAACCCAACGTACTATTAGCCTTCTTTACAGCCTTTGTCTACATTGGAGATGAATTAATATATTATTCATAATAACTCTTGCATTTGATATAGTACCTTTCTTTCATTTCAGGAGGACATCTCAAATAGCTTCACAGGATGTATAATAAAGTGTAGTAACTATATTTTGTAAGTAAATAGTCAAGGGAGGCAATACTTACCCTGCATTTTAAGAATTAGTGGAACCATGGCTATTCAATAATTACTGAATGCCAGATATATCTCGCATATGGTTTTCTTTGCCTATTACAATTTCAACTAACTACAACAAAAGTGGAAACTTTGGGATTCAGTGCACCTGAAGTTTCNAAAAAAATCAAAGCATTTCCAAACCCTTCACACAGCTTGGGTCGAGTTCTCCCAGGAACTCCGTGCTAACCTCTTGGTGAGCAGCACAGCTCTGAAATGCGTCAGATAATTGTTACTATCCTTCTCCCCACAACTTTCTTTCGGATGACACGTTAAAATGAAGTCCAGTCTACCTGTTCAGGTGGACTTTAACAACCTCATTAGTTCTATTCAAAAGGTTCTCCTGGTTTCCCGACCAACAATTCTCCAGATAAAATTCATCACTCACTAAAACCGAAACCAATAATAAATTGGTCATTTTCAATCCACGACTGTTTGTGGGACATTGCTGTGCGCAATTGGCTGCCGCGTTCGCCCACAAATATACAGTCAATTCACTTTACAGTGTGTTCTGTGAAGCGCTTTGGGACGTCCTCCCGACGTGAAAAGCGCTATATCAAATGCAAGGATTATTATTATTATTATAATGGCAGTTTGTGAAAATATAGCTAACTGCAAATACAGCAACTCCACTTTAATGTGAGGCATTAAATTGAGACATTCTCCCGATGTGAGTGGCACTGTATCAAATGAAAGACACTGTCATTCGGTATATGCTCCCAGTGGGGGGTCCAGAACCGAGTTCCCCACTGAGCGATCAGTTGGAGTTTGGAGTCTGAGCGACAGCTGAACCCACATTCCCCTCAAATAACAATCACCGCAAACAGCACCGAACCCCGACCACCAGAGCCCAGAGCCCACCTGCCGCCGCCCTCCCAAACCCGGTTCCTCATCAGTGGAGACATTCTCCTTCCTGAAGGTGTGAGGTGTTGAGCTTCATCCCAGTCCCAGTGTCAGTGTCACACTGAGCCCCTGAGTTCCTGATCTGCTGAGAGCTCAGGGGGCGGCGGCGGCGACTCGGGTCTCTGGGTACAGAGCAGCACCTGGTCAGTCAGGTCAGGTCAGGCCGCCGCCGCCGCCGCCGCTCTGCCTTCTCCCCTTCACGCCGTTTACTCACCGAAGAGCAGGAAGAGCAGGACGCAGAGGAGAGTGGCGACCAGGACCAGCAGCGTCAGACCGATGCTCTGCAACATCCTCGGCGGCTGCGGGTCTTACTGGGTGTCGGGGGCACCGCTAGGCCCAACATAACACGGAGACCGAGGCCGCAGTAACACCGCCCCCACCGCGGGCGGTTGGCCGCCGGGACCGCGTAAGATTAAGACCGACCGGCGGGAGCTGTTGAAACCGCGAACGGACTGAGAGCCGCACAACACCGGGACATGGGCTGTGAGCGCCGGCGACTGAGCTCAGCCCACAAACACTTGGTACTTTCCACACTGCGCCTGCGCTGCGCTGCGGCATGCCGGGAGCTGTAGTTCCCATCGCTTCCCCGGGGCCGGTGTCAGCGCCAAACACCGCGGGAGCGACTCCAGCTCCCGGCATGCACGTCACCAGCCCACCGCCCCCTCCTCCGGACACCGTGATGGGAGAGAGGGAGAGAGAGGGAGAGCGCGGGGCGGCGGCCCGCGGGGCGGCTCTGGGCTCTGCACTTTACTGACAGAGGCACGAGTTACTGGGGCCGCGCAAACACCTCCACCCGAGCCAATGCGTTCCTCTTGCAGTGGAAGCAGCGCGTGTTGCTTTGTAATGGTGAGCTGCTGGTCGGGCTTTTAAAACCCTGTCTGCACTGCCATGGCGCCCTGACCTGACCTGACCTGTTGCTAGGTGACGCCCGGCCAGGCGCTGCGACAACAACTTGCATTTATCCATGGCACGTCTGAGTGCACATCAGTGGCACAGCCCTGATGCCCATGAGCACAGTCCAAGAGGAAGTTAAACTCCGCCTTATCTGCCTGTTAAAGATCCTGTGGCGATTTCAGCCGCGTGTCTGACATCACTGCGCTTAAGAGTTTCCAAACCAAACTGAGAATTACATTTTTGCGTATCACACTACTCACAAAGAAAAGGGGGGTCTATTCAAATAGAGCAGTATTTTTCTGTATAATAATAAGCACTTTTCGCATTAAGACGCGCTTACATAATTTATTAGAATAAAACAAGGTGGTCCTGCAGGGAGGAGGGCAAGAGAAACCAAAAACCAGAAAGGACAGCTTGACTCAATAAATCTTGAGTGAAATATCTGCAATTTCCATGTTTTACTCGCAACATGTTTGATTACAAATACACTGTCACGACTCTATGCTTTACAGTAAAATCCTGTGAAGTGATTTGAGATGTTTCATCAACGTGATAAGGTGCAATATCAAATGCAACGATTGTTATTAATAAAGAAAATGTTGTCATTTACCAACTGATATATTAAAAGTTTGTAAAATGTTCTAACACCATGAATAGATGTGGCCAGTATTATACAATGATCATATAATTTAATATTCAAATGGTAACTTATTAACTATTTAGAGTAATGCGCATTGTTACATAGAGTTACCTAGAATGGAAACAGACTATTCTGCTCAACTAGTCTGTGCCCGTGTTTATACTCCACACAAGCCCCCCACGCACCCTCTTCCAATCATCTATGCCCCATTATTCCTCTTCTATTTGATGAAGAAAGCTTTTTAGAAGAAGCTCATGATTGAGAGTCAATTGTTACAGTATTTCTGAGAGTCTCTGGGCCGGCAGATATTTCATACTTGATTTTAATTTAAAGAAAGCAGATTCAAGATTGGACTACAGTTAAACAGCCTCCAGTTTCAAAATGACCAATGCGAGATGGTCACAGTTTGATACAGATTCTGAAAGAGGATAAATATTTAAATGAGTTACTTTTTTTAACAAAATCTCACTTATGTGGTGTCGGCCTGGCTCAGTTGGTTACACTCTTGTCTCTGCATCAAAAATATTGTGGGTTCAAGGCCCATGTTGGGACATGAAACTCATATAGTCCAGATTGACACTCCAATTCTGCGCTGAGGATGTGCTGTATTGTTGAAGGTGCCATCCTTTGGATGAGACGGTAAACCAAAGGTCCCACCTGCCTGTTCAGGTGGACGATAAAGATTCCATGGCACTATTCAAAGAGAGAAGTTTCTCCTAGTGTCTTGGCCCCAACTAAAATTGGTCATTCACTTTATGGCTGTTTATGGGACATTGCTGTGTGAAAATTGGCTAATGCATTGGCTTACAAAATGCACAGACACTGCATTTTACAGTGTATCCTGCAAAGCACTTTGAGAAATCCTTTTAATATGAAAAGCCCCTCTCTCAGTCTTGAGAGAAGACTCAGAGAAGACCTCATAGACGTGTTTAACATTTTAAATGAGATTGAAAAATTAAACCCAGATCAATATTTTAGGAAGCACCAAGACAGTAAAACAAGAGACTGTAAGTTTCCATCTCTAAAGGGCAATTTCAGGACAGACAACAGGCCATTTTTCTTTACTCAGAGAGTAATTAAGGTTTCGACAGATTGAGACTAGGACACATAGCCCTGCAAACGTGTCCTCCCTAAATAATAGATAATTATTTGGGAAGGGCAGATTTACAGGTCTCTAGGGAGAGAGCGGGGGAGTGGGATTGATTTGCATAGTTTTTTTCAAAGAGCCGGCACAGACACAAAATATGACCAACTTCTGTGCTGTATAATTCTATGGTTCTCTGGTTCTATGAGACTGGACTCATTTAAAAAAAACAGTTTGATTCTGTGATAGGGGAATGGTGGTGTGGGTGTTCTCGAAAGATAAGATCTGAAAAGCCTCCTTTATCCAAACCAATCTTGTGATCTTTTGATCTTGTGATATCAAATGCAAGGATTAGGATTATTATACCTCGTTTCCAAACATTTATTTGTATCCAAATTGTTTTTCAGTGAGTAGTTAAGGATGATTATATGAAAAGAAACCCAATCTTCACTTGAAGCAACTACTGACTGTTCATTTTGGTTATTTAATGTTTTCACATCTGAGGACATTTAGGTGATAGTCTGTCAATTATATTTCAGGTGATTAAGTTAGTCTATAATAATAATACTTGCATTTGTTATAGCGCCTTATGACATCTTCAAGACATCTTAAAGTGAATCACAGAATATACTGCAAAGTGAATTGGCCTTATATTTTGTGGGCGAAATGTGGCAGCCAATTGCTCACAGCAGTGTCACGCAAACAGTCGTGGATTGAGTGACCAAATTTTTAAAATTTATGTTAAAGTAATTATTACCCCCAGAAAAGCGATCTGCCAATCAACTATCAACCGGGTTCCTACTTACTGCTAGATAAACAGAGGCTTGTGGAATAAGGAAATTTGACCAATGTTTCACCCTGCCAGGAATCAAACCCAGGTCCTCTCGCATGCAAAGCGAGTGCTCGAACCACTAAGTTACAGGACTCCTATGAATAAATAGAATGTCTAAATACAATTACTCATCTGACATTTTTGAAATGACAATCCTAATAAGGAAAAGGATGTATTATATTATTATTTTTTAAAAGCAGAATAAAAAACGCGGTGGAAGGGTATTTGAGGAGGACGGGTTTGCAGGAAAGGGCTGGGGAGTGGGATTGACGTTACATTGCTCTTTTCAAAGAGCCGGCACAGACTCGATGGGTCGAATGGCCTCTTTTTGTGCTATACGATTCTATGATTCTATTAAATGGTAACAAAACCAGCATTAACATCAATGTCTGCAAATGCATGCTTTTCCTCGGTCTTATTTATATGTCAGCCTAACTCAGTTGATAGCATTCGCCTCTCTGAATCAGAAGATGGTGGGTTCAAGTGCCGTGCTTTGGATGATATGGTAAACGGAAGTCCTGTCTGTCTATTCAGGTGGGTGTTACAGATCTCATGGTACTATTCAATAAGAGAAGTAAGTTTCTCCTGCTACCCTGCCAACAATGGAACATATACTGCGTGCAAATTGGCTGTTGCTTTTGCTTAAAATACAGGCACTCGGCATTACAGAAACACTTTGTGAAGCAGTTTTCAACATGGTATTTCATCAAATACTTCATCAAATACAATGATTATTATTAACAACATGTATGCTGTACATATGCACTAATTCCACTAGAGGGCAGAAGTATAACAGAACATTGATGTGCAGTGATTGTATAGACTGGGCGTAGCTCAGGTTCAAACATCAATTGAAATCACTTGTCTGCCACGCCGTACAGAATATCAAATAGTAGTGCAGTTGATCATGCAGTATTTAACATTTTTTTTAAAAAACTACGACTCAAGCTGTTCAAAATCTGCAGATCTAATGATCAGTGCAATTTGACTAATAAATGGGGACTCATGTTCCATTTTTGATACGTATCGTGAGCAAAGCAGAATTAATTAAAACCGTACCAAAGCATTTCATCACAATTCATTCTCTTGACCCAAAACAACCACAAAATACTTTTCTACACAACCCACCTCCACGGCCACTCACACACCCTCAATCCTCACCTCAGAAGCTAAGTGCAAAGAGGTCCTGGATGTTTTCATCACCAAGAGCAACAACATCTGCCTGGTTGCCTTCTCCTCATTCCACTCCCATGTCGCCTCCTTCACCACCCTATCCTAACACGGCCCATGCCCGACACTCATTTGCCCTCATCTCTCCCGCCTCCCTTTCCCCCACCATCACCAAGATGAAGCCCACCATCTGCTGCCTCAAACCCCACCTCACCCAGCTTCTGGTCACCCAACTCCCCCTCCTCGGCCCACTGCTGCCTGACTCAATCAACCAGTCCCTCTCCTCAAGCTCTGTCCCACTCTCCCTCAAAACCGCTGTCATCATTCCTCACCTCAAAAAACCTACCCTCGATCCCTCCAACTTCACAAATTTCAAACCTGACCTTCCTGGCCAAAGCTTTGGAATGCATGGTTGCAAATCAACTTCGCTCACACCCCCTTTCCACTCCACACGAACCCCTCCAGTCCGGTTTCCACCCTGCCCACAGCATAGAGACAGCGTTCATCAAAGTAACAAATGATCAGGGCTCCCTCTGCCTCCTCATTATTCTCGACCTCTCCGCTCTCCCTGGCTCTCACTCAGACTCACCAAACAGGTGCTCAATTTAGGCATCAGGTTTGATTCACAGCTTTCCTTTCTCCCACACATCTGTTCCCTGACCAGGACTGCTTTTTTCCACCTCCGTCACATTGCCTACCTATGTCTGGACCTCATAACCGACGCAGCTGAAACCCTTATCCACGTCTTTGTCACCCCCGGCTGGACTTTTCAAATGCTCTCCTCGCTGGTCTTCCCAGTTCCACCACACACAAAATTCAATTCATAGAATCATAGAATCAGCACAGAAAGAGGCCATTTGGCCCATCGCTTCTGCACCAGCTCCTGCAAGAGCAAATCAATTCAATGCCACTGGCCC